TTCGGTTTTTCGACAATTATGCAATATTTTGATAAAAATATACTCATGTGAGGCGTGAACTATATGCAATCTTACAGATTAAGACTTTTGATTTTGCTCCATTAGTTGGCATAGCTCTGACGACGCAATATATAAAAAAAATTCTCTCGTCGATCGAAGATTACATCCAATTTCCATGGAAATGTGCATTCTGTGTTTGGAGGAAACATTTACGGTGGACATTTCAGCATTAACATTTATCAACAATCTCCAACATCACTTCCCAAACCAGTGAAACGACGTAGGATCATCGAGTCGCAATCTGATTAAAATCATATGTTACATGGCTTCGTACACTTCGTAGTACCCCTGAACATCTGAGTGTGCCGCGGTCAGGGTCACGTTCAGGTGACCTTTATATTTATAAATACTCATTAAATTTTGACCAATCAGAAACCCTCTTTTAAAAGGGCGCTAGGAGTTGTAACAAATATGGCGGACATTGATGAGAATGATGCGAAAGTTCTGAAGTTATTTGAGATTGATCGTCTGAAATCCGAACAGAAAAAGATACTCGAAGATTTAATATGACTCAGGCATAGCCTGGAGAGAGCGCAGCTCGTACATTTGTTTCGATAATATACTATAATTTTTGAATCATTACATTACCCATTTTAATACATACAAAACTTACCTGTATTTTTTTTTTTTTTATATAATATACTTGAATCTGTTGCTGGGCAAAATCATTCATTTTGAAAACAGGTATTGCCTGAAACGAGAGAAGCGTCTAAATGCTGTTTTTTTTTTCAATTTTATTTTCTAAATAACATTGTTTAACTATTATCTATTTATTCGTTTTATAGCGATAAATGTAAAATTAATAATAAGTAAAGAAAAGCATTCGAATGAATTATGCAGTTCAAGAGAAAACACAAATACATTTGGTACTGTTGCATTTAATTGCCCCGTCTATGGCCTCAGAGTAATGTTGCGAAAAGAGTGAGGCCCAGTAGAGGGACTTCATATTTGCAGATGTATTGTTTATCAAATGAAACTGTTATTATCTGTTATTATAAAAGTAAAGTATATTGGTGATTCAATTCCAATTTTATTTTCCGACATGATATACTTTGCCTGATCCCTCTAAATCGTGTAAAAAGAGAATCCCAATAGCCCAAACATATCCGGATTTCCGTCTTGGTTTGGTAGTTACTATATACTTCCGGTTTGGGTGGAGAGAAGAAAAGACTGAAAATTTGAAAGAAGCTTCAGTTTCTATAATTTTTAATGTCATGAATTTACATAACCACAGAAAAAAAAGTATCAAATAAAGAGATATTTTTGAGGATGTGTAGCAAAGCTAAACAGCATCGTAAAAATAGGACCGCGGTAACTCTATACTAGCTACTTCCGTGACGAAAGAATTTTGGAAGCATAGTATTTCGACGTTACCATGACTTCAATTGTTCGTACACATGTTACCGGAAAAGAGCTTCGCTTCTTGCGCCTTCGGCGCAAGAAGAGCTGCGCTCTTATTACCCAATGGGTACGTTTTCCTTGGCGTCGTAGAAACGTCAGTTCCCGCGGCCATATTTGTTTTTGAAAACGAATCTGTTCGATACCCCTCGCTATTTATATATCAACCATGATATTCCGATTCGCTGGCAATTTTTGCCAGTGCGCCTCTGATTGGTTCATATAAAGGTCACTTGAACGTGACCCTGACCGCGGCAGTAACAGATGATTTTAATCAGATTGATCGAGTCGGACAGTGAAGCTGTTGACACCTCAAATTTCCGCGTTGTGTGCCGCAGCATGGACCGTGTGAACTTGTTGCTGTTTTGTTCAAAAGTATTTCCAAATTTCAGCTGAAGCTCTACATTTGTACAAAGCATTGAAAAATTGATTAAATATTAAGAGTTATCCATATTGTTGGAGTGATTTAAAAAAAAGTGTGACTATTTGTTACAGCGCAGATAGATTTGACAAGAGACGTATATATTACTATTATATATATTAATATATACGTCTCTGATTTGACGTACATTTTGATAGTAGTGCTTTGCTCATGTCATCAAAAGTCAGCTGATGTTTGAACGAATGAAAGGTCAGTGTTTCAGCTATAGGATAAAAAGGATCTTGCATGAGTTTCCATGTCATATTAGATTTATGAAACTCGTCGTCACGAATTTATCATTTTAGCGAGCTTCTGAAAAATTCTTCGACTCGTTTCATAAATCTCACATGACATAGAAACTCATGGTAGATCCTATATATCTTTGATGAAATAAAGCAATTCTGCCGCACGTTTCTACAAATTGAGAAAACGGGACGTTTAATTACAAAACCCATTACATGGAGCACTTGTATACCAGGTAATGTGGCTGTCATCGAGATCTCTGATATTCCATGAAACTCACAACCATTTATCATTAGATGTCATGCTAAATGGTTGTGAGAGATGTGATGAAAATGAAAATAAACATATTCTCCTATCTATATCCAATTACATTTTAAGTTCTAGAAGATTCAGGACATTTAACTTCAATTTTGAATGAAATTTTACATTTTATTTATTTATATTTTATTTTTTCTCAATGTAATTCTTCTGATTTCCAGAAATGGTACATGAATATTAATATTAATATTTCCTATTTGTCTTCATTGTTTATTTTTAAATATTGTTAGTGAGGGGGGCTGGGGTTCAGAAGACCAGTTATACTATTTTATTAAAAAATATTGGGAAACAACTACATAAATAAGAATATAAAGCTTTACAACATGTTAATTATATATCTAACCTGTGTTTAATATGCATAAATTAAACTATTTGGTGGGATTGAATTTCCAAACTCATCAGTGGATGGCCTTGTGTGATACAATGGACTTTTTGGCCTGTATCTGTTGGGTGCGGTAATTTAATCCCATCAAATGTTTATACATGCAGCTCCATCAACAAACTATTTTTCTTTTCTCTTCATAATATGTATATACCGGTATATATTTTATATGTCTTTTCAATATCAAAATAAAAGGTTAGAATTCAAACCATTAGATTCAATTATAATAAAAATGAGTATTAGTAGTTGTTTCCCCTAATTTGATTATTAATTTGATAATACCAACTTGTTTATATGTGTCTGTATGTGTTCTATGTCTATGTCTATGCTTGTACCACTGTCTGTTACTATGTTTGGAAAGGGCTTAGATAGGCTATGCCTGCTGCCCAATCCATTTGTCCTTTGACAATAAAATTTATTGAAATCTAAAATCTCTGATAGAAGAGCACTTACGTGAATTATAAAGATTTCGAGATAGTCATCCACACGTGAGCCTGAATAGTCATTTGGCTTAAAAAGTAAATACACTGAATGTTGTTGTAGAAACCTGGATTTTTAAAAAAGAAGACCAAGGGCTTACATTTAATCGGCAAGTACAGGGATGAACTATCGATACTGTATCTTCGTTTATCGTACAGCAGGTAAGATCTCGAGAAAATATATCAAACATGTAAAGAAAGTCATTCTCTTTATACAAATGTACATACTTGCTAGAAAATAGAACACAGATGAATACGTACCGAGATTCCCTTCGGAGCTCAATTATCAATCTTGTATAAGTGTATTTTCCAAATTGAATATTTGCTCTAGATTCGTGTATTCGGTATTATTGAATACAATCTAGTATATATACATGATCATGTTGGACCAGCCACCATCCCCTGGGGCGCTTATAATAACATGTAACCGATATACCGACCAGGTGTGAAGCACCTCATAAATATTACCTAGAATACCGTAGTTATTCTCATAAAAACCAAGCCTTCAGGTAAATTGTGTGATAACTGATTTGTAGATACCGCGGCACCTTCCCTAAACATTTAAATAGCACTTACTTCGTGAATGAGAAAATACGTAACCCTTAACTAAACCTAGATAAATAGAAAAGGGTGCTAACATTCGATATCAATATGTTCACGTAAAGAATAAGACATAGTTTGATTTTAGTGAAATAATCTGAGATTAAGTAAACCAACCCCCTCTTCAATCATCCCTCCCAATCCCTCACCCCCAATCCCTCACTCCAACTCCCTCACCCTCAAAAATAATCTCACTTTTTACAGCAAATATAGTTCTAATTCCTAGAAGAATATGATGGCTGTATTCTATAACAGAAAAGTATGTGTGCAAGAGGGTGACACTCTTGTTTTCCGTTTTTGTGTTAATGTGTTTATATAGTTTATATATAACCATCGATAAATTTTGTTTCATAAACGTGAACACAAAAGGTCAAGTATGTTGAATTAATTTTATGATACAATATCTGCATTTATTCAATAACAGTCCCGTTTTGTGAAATGTGGTTTTGATTTTTGAAATGCACATCCTTATGAGGATAACAAATGCATGACATACAAAATAAATGGAGCGATGACACCCCCCTGCATAACTCGGGACATCGATTGTTATGATGATAAAATACTAAGGATTTCTTGGGATTATTGATTCATTTCTGTTACCTATTTATTTAGTTTTTGTGAAAACGTTTGTGTAATTATGACACACATGAACTAGATAACATTTACCAGCGCCTCAGTAGTTTGATATTCCTAAAAAGTAATGCGTTGAATGTATTTACATTGAAAAAAATGTCTCGTAGCTAACTGTTTCAGCCATATTAAATTTTGTATGTTTATCAACCTCAAAATCATTTCCTTTTCAGTTCAGACATTTTTTTTTGTCACAGGTCCAATTCGCTAATGGAGAAATAAAATATCACAAAAATCAATTTAGGTTTTTCTTATTATTAGTTTGATCAGACAAGATCAGTTGTTACATGATCCGGCTTTTAATGTCTATCGACTGAGAAGTCAAATGTAGGCCAAATGGGAAAATGACATTTTTATTGTCGTTAAAATATGAGAAACTGTTTATATTTACAAATAAATCATACATACTGAACAAAGTCAGTGGACAAAAAAATCGTTAAAAACATGAATCGCGTCTCTTTAATAAAACACCCTTATCATTAAATATTGTCAGTCTGGAACACTCATTTTTTTTAATATAAAATACTCAAGTATTTTTACTGACAGTTCCTATTCCATGAATTATGATCGATATCCTTCAAAAGTTTCAAGACAAATGGGAATTTATGCGTTTGGTCTGGCTGTCGTTCATTAAAAACAAAATTAATGTTAATCTAGAATAGATATATTTTTAATTATATATATATATTTTGAAGTTAAAAACCATTACATATATGTCTCGTTGACTTGCTAAATCCTCCAAATCATTACAATATAAAACTGAAGTGACTTTTCGTTGACTAGACTATTCGTCACCGCTGGTTGTATGGTCGTCAGCGAGCAGGCTTTTTCTCCTCAGCCATTAGGTCCATGATGATCTCCAAGACGAGAAAGAAGAGATTGGCGGCCACTTTTAGCACACTGTTATTAGTATTTGTGTCATCTTGACCACTGGTCAGCCCCACGCGACACATGAGCAGGAAGGACAGTGCGATGACGTATGATGGGACCTTCATTCCGTATAATTGTCCTGAAAAATGTACGTAAATTATAGAATTGCTGTCTTGCTTTGGTCGATTTCATGGTGTGGTGAATTGAGTTGGTCTTGAAACAAACTTAATGAACTGCGAAACAGTTCATGTTGAATTGGTTTCAAGATCAACTCAATTCATCACCCCATGAACACGACTAAAGCAAGATTCAATCCTTAAATGAACACAAGCTGTTTTCAAGTTTAGAAATCATTAAATTACTGATTATACAGCATAAAAATTGGTTAAATACTATAGACGGGAACCAGAGGAAGTTACCAGTTAGCGATTGGTCTAAATTGTTACTCGTCTTAAGATATTTTAGTTATACAATTTTGTAAACATTAATCTATATTATGATTTAGTCAGTGAAACAATTCGACAACCACCATAAAAAGACGTATTTCCAATCACAAATGACGCGTGTACCTATTACTTGATCAGAAATAGCGTCCGTAGGAAGTCGTAGTGTTATGCAATCAATTAATATCTAAATTACAAATATATAATTTTACCGCATACTTACCGTTTTCCCTCTGTGAAAATATTGAACAGGTATGGAAGTAGGAAGTAAAAATGCTAAATATGACACATACACTGGCCGGTTGTCCTTAGCCCTACTTCCTGAACTGACCAGCACGTACCCCGCGGTCAAGCTGTGTCTGTACACGGGGTCGTCTTATACTTATATTGCCGTTATAGTGTCAAAAAACCCTGAGTTAAAATTCTACTATCTACTTATAATACTGTCACCGCACTAAGTGACATTGTTTACAAAAGATTATCTGTCAAGACAGCAAAACGTAAGATATTAAGGTTGTTGAAATAAAAAATCAATAGTTTTTTTTTGTTTTTTTTTAATTGTATACTTTGTGCTTTAAATGTGAAATGAAATCCTTTTTTGTATTTCATATATCAGTGTTTTGTTTTGATGAAGCAAAATAAGCACACATGGAGTTTAAAACAACATATACGGAGAAGTTTTGTCTTTAAATTTTCAGACAAAATAGTTCCATTAAAAATCGGCAGTTCGCAATTTACGTGAACCAATCGATTGTAACATTCAACAGCCATTGTTTTGACGACATTTAAGAAGGACTAGTATTCTCAAGCTTTGTACATCAGTTTTCTTCTGTCCAATGGGATAGAATACAAGAGGCCCAAGGGCCTTAGCGGTCACCTGAATTATATATCATAGGTATACTGGTAGCTCATTTTTTTTTGAGATGTGACGTGGAAATCAGCATGTAAACTAAGTACAATACAATACTTGCCATGTCATCAAAGGATAAGAATTTTAAAATATTGGTTAATTTTTCCCTTTTCGGCCCCGCCCTAGCCCCTGGGGATAGGCCAGGAATACCAGTTTTACAATGTAATACCAACATCCACTAATGATGATTTTAACCAAGTTTGAATAATTTTCTGCTGAAAATGGATAAAACATACCGAAAAGTGTTATTTTCCTATATAAACTAACTTTACCCCCTCCCAAGGGAGAAGGGATGGCCCAGGGGTCCTGAAATTGACAATTTCAATAAAGCTCCTGATGATCTTTCTATCCAAGCACTTAAATTGACTGTAGTACCTCCGAGTCTGGAGAAGAACAAACTTTGAAATATTGGTCAATATTCCCGGTGGTGCCCCGCTCTGGCCCCTAGGGTTGGGTAGGAACCCAATTTTATAACCATTGAAAAAAAAAATCTTCCTCCAAGGATGATTCTCACCAAGTAACAATAATTTCTTACAGAAAATTGTCAAAATATACACAAATGTGTTATTTCCCTATATAAACTATAGTAAACTTTTCCCCCCTCCCCAAGGGAGAACGGATAGCTCGGGGGTCCTGAAATCGACAATTTCAATAAAGCTTATGGTGATCTTTCCATCCATGCACAGAAATTGACTGTAGTAACTCCGAGTCTGGAGAAGAAGATTTTTGAAATATTGGTTAATTTTCCCTTTGAGGCCCCGCCCTGGTACCTGGGGTTGGGGTAGAAAATGTAAAACGTTAACGCACGACGGACGACGACGGACGGAAAACGATCAGAATAGTTCACTTGAGCAAAGCTCAGGTGACCTAATAAAATCTTTCCCCGCCTTGAGGGTAATATAGAACATTCAACCCTGGGGTTTAGAATATTGAATAGCTAGTCCAAGTCTTTGCCGAGGGCCAGACATTTAAGAATATTTGCACGAGTTTTAAGATTTTCAGATGAATGAAACACGAGCATTAATTGTATTGTTTTTCAAAAAATCCATTGAGATATCATCCGTGATATCCTATTGTTGGCGTAAGGTCATATCTATTATATGACTGGGGAAAGTAGAAAAAATCTCTCCTTAACGAAAGTGGTAATTTCTGTCTTACAGGATGAAAGCAGTGACTTGTGGAGAAATGGAGAAAACATATAAAACAGACATATAAAACAGATGGTCAGTAAATCTAACAGGTATAAATATTCGAAAAATTGAATCCAAAAGAATCATCCGAGAGAAACATGGTGGCAATACCGTACAACTTAAACTGAAAGTATTGGCTTGAACAACTGGAGCATCCATATGATAGTCATTCGAATATAACCTTAGATAATACATGTCGACTGCTGTCAGACAAACTTACAACACAAGATTTCGAGAGATGAAGTTTGCAGGGTCGAATAAAACTTGTTCAACCTTGTTGGTTTTCTCTGTGTAGTCCGGTTACATCCCGGCATTTAGACCCCCCC